TTTTTCAGCCCTATCTCTGAGATATTAATAATTAAGCTTGAAGCTTTTTCTCTACAAGGCGGAGGTTCTGCAACTGAGCTATGGTTCTTCCAAAGTACAATCCTCAAACCGGTCTAGAATGCTGAACATAATTAGAAAAGAATTAAACTCACAAATATATAATTGGACTTGAAGACACTATTAAATAGAAATGGCAATTTGTTCAAAGGTGAAACTTCGTAAGGCTTTTTCTTCAAAATAAATCTTTCACCAGAGTGATTGGCTGGGTCCCTTGTGCTGGTCCTGATATGAGTAAGATTTAAGGCAGTTATTTCTGAAATATTTCTCAGTAGTATGTTCAGAGCAAGGGATGACAGCTAGAGAGCTCTGGGAAGGAGGAAGGAACATTTTTGTTACTACAGTAGTATTTCTGCAGAAGGATATCATTACTTGCCTTGTTAGTCTCACCTTCCAAAATAGCTTAGCCTTCAGGGCACAAATTAAGCCTCAATGCAGTTGGGTTGCTCAAGCCCAGAGGCAAAGAACTGGTGCTTTCCAGATGTTGGTACCAGCATCTCACATTATTCCCCATGCTGAATGAGGCTGATGAGGTGTAGCAACATCTGGAGGACCATGAGGCTTCAATCTTTTACCTGGTTCATCATCACCTCTTAGAATTGCCAACCATTGGCTATCTTGTTTGAAAATTCTGCGAGTTGTATTTTGCGCCACATCTAGAAGATACCAAACTAGAGAAAGTGTTCTAGAACTTAAGAGCCTCAATTCTAGATTTCTTTTACCCGATGATACCAGAGATCGGTGTTTCTCAATCTTGGCTATTTTAAGATGTGTGGACTTCAAAAGTTATGCCTGACTGGGGAATTCTGGGAGTCAAAGTTCACACATCTTACAAGGGCTGAGATGGAGAGGCCCTGCCATTGCGAATCCTCAAGGAAAACACAGCAGCTTTTTAGAGGTTGAGAAACAAAGACTGCCAGAAACATTATGGAATGGGACAAGTTGCTATAGCCAACTTGCCATGGCCAACTTGTTATGGCCAACTCACCACTAGACAACTCACCACAGGACAATTTAATGATGCAATTTAATTATTTGAAATGAATAAAAAATAGTATTAATTTTTGTCATTCACATTTCATTCAGTCCCTCCTTTTGCATTCTTTCTTTAATGATTCTATTCCATCATTTCTTTGATATTAGTGTAACTCCTGTCCTGCAATGAGCTGTCCTGTGGCAAGTTGGTCACAGCAAGTGGGCCATGGTGAGTTGGCCATGACAAATTGTCATAGACCCAAAACATTACTGTCTGATAGGAAGTCTGGAATTGGAAGTGTGTGGCTTAATCCCTATATAAGTGGGAAGTTTCAGACAACTACTGTGTTTGCTCACTGCAAAGCTTGAAACCAAGTACAGCCCTCCCCAACTTGGCGACTATAGGTATATTGGAATGTGAACGCCATAATTTATAGTCATGTAGTGTCCCTACTTGGAAATGATGTATTATCCAACACAACTATAAAGTGTTGGTTGAAGAATGCTTACGCAGTATAGTGTAACACCAAAACTCAACAGCTCATAACAGCTCATAAGCAGTATATTCAAAGTTGACAAGGAGAGAGATTAGCCCTCTTTCTACCATTAAAAGGAACTAAGTTAGAGTCAACTAGTTAACTGTAGTCAGAGTGAACTAGTCGATTAAGCTCTTTTAAGAAGAGATTGGTCAACCATTTTTCTGAAATGTGTAGCGCTTCTTGCTGGAGCAGGAGATTGGACTACAAGACTTCCAAGGTCCCTTCCAACTTGGTTATTCTGTTAGAATTGAATTTCAGCATCTTAACATCTCAGCATCTTTTCATGTTATTCTGTTAAAGCAGACAATTCGACTTCTCAAGTTCAAACCTTTTGGTTACAATTACTTAAGAGGCACAACTAAATCCATCTTCCACCACTGACTCAGGCAATAACAAGACTCCAACAGATTTCTGTTTTCTTTGGGATAACCACATTTATCTTCCTCTCTGGAGGGAAATATAAGCATAACATTTTGCTCTGTTTTTTCTTCCCTTTCTCCCTATTGATTTACCTTCCTTCCTGGTGAGACTAAAGCCATTAAATCAAACCTGTTCATTCTCTTTTTCAAGTGTTATGACTAAAGAGTGGGAGTTTAAAGGCTCGTAAAATCTCCTTCAAAACCTCTAAAGGCAATTTTCCATGTCCTGACATCAAACAGTTCTTAAAAGGAAGCCTATATCTTCTTGATATCTACAGCTGCAATTCCTTGCATATTTTCCATGGAATAAATCTCTCTCAACCCACTGGAACAGACACAAAAAGGTCTCTTGAATCAACTGAAATCTTTACAGAGTGCCATACATGGATTCAGACACATTGCTGAGTCGTTTAAATCATAGTTTGCTGAACAATCCAAATGACTGCGAACCTTAGCAACCTTTCCAGGGATGTTCCACTCTGTACCTCCACACAAGATCTGGCGTAGAGAGATGGGGTATGGGGTGAGAGTGGGATGAGAGAGCAACAGCAAGCCAAATATTGTGGCTAAAAAGCTGGACTAGGAACAGGGAGAACCAGCTTCTAAACCTCCCTTCGACACCCAACCAGATGGATCACTTTGAACCAGAAACTTTCTCACAAACCTAGAGAGATCAAAAGCCATCTTTCTACCAACCTGCACTGCACTGACAGAAGATGGCCCATAACCTTCAATGGGATTGTCCCACAATGGATTAATATGGGCTGAGAATAAAAAATATGCATATGCCCTCACAAACTTCAAGTGTGAACATACAATGTTCATGGACATACATACATACACACACATATGCACACACACACATGTAATTTCAACATTTTCCTTTTTTTCCAGTTTTATTTTTGTTGTTTTTGAATTCAACAAATTTAAGTGTCTCTCAAATCAGGCTCCCCTCCTGATGGCTGTTCTGAATTTGGTAAGAATTCAGAAATCGGTCTTCCCGTCTGTTCTTCTTCTCAGGTGTTTTTGACTGGATTCCCATCTAAATACTAACCAGGCCTAATCCTTCTTAGCTTGCTCAAGTCCTAGCTTGATTTTTACACATGTGCCCAATATAAGCCCCCCCACCCCAAAAATAAGCCCTAATTAAGATCCCGCCCAATCAAAGGTGCATGGGTAAAAATTAAGCTAGGGTGGCTATGGGGGTGGAGCTGCCCTACTACTAACCTTTGGACAGTTGTATCCAGGCCTTGCACACCCCAACACCCGCCTTGTTGGCCCATTTCTTCTGCAGCCAGCAAGGCTTTCTTAAAGGCCTCTGTAGCAGGTAGCAGAGCCCCAGGTCGATCTGGAGCTCTGTTATCAGCTGCAGAGGCCTTTAGGAAAGCCTTGCCATCTGCAGAAGAAGTTCCAGAAAGGCCTCTGACAGCGAAAAGGAAGCCGGGGCAACGCATGCAAGTGAGGTTAGTCAGTGGATGACATCCCCCGAAAATAAGACCTGGTGCCTTTTTTGGTGGCAAAATAAATATAGGACAGGGTCTTATTTTCAGGTGCCATCTTGCACAACGGACCCATCAGGCCAATAAAATTTCATTCAAATATCCACCCACTCAGACATGCCCAATAATAATTGCATGAAGGAGGGATGAGGGACGAAGGTATTGTTCCTACTCCATCTGTTGGTCCTTGCCCTCTGTACATGAGAGGAAACCTCTGTAACAAATTCATTTTCACTTTACTCATTTGGCCTATCGAATCCAATGTAAGTCTTGATTTTTCGGATTCTTCTAAACCACTTGTTGGGGAACTTGAGGGCAAATCAACGTGTAGATGCTGAATGTAGATGTAGAAGGAATGGATTTTTATCCATTTTCCTGTTTGAATGATTGTAATATTATGAGATAGGTAGGATTTTAACTAACCATTGGTGTTTTAATTTCTTTCATTTTGTTTTGAACAGCTAATTCTATTTTTCCCTCAAGCTTAGGAATGTTAATAAGTTACAGGTAGTCCTCCACTTACAACAGTTGGTTTAGTGACCTTTCAAAGTTACAACGGCAGTGAAAAAAAGGTGACTTATGACCGTTTTTCACACTAACAACAGTTGCAGCATCCTCGTGATCATGTGATCAAAATTCAAATGCTTGGCAACTGGCATGTACTTATGCCAGTTGTCATGTGATCACCATTTGCAACTTCTGACAAGCAAAGTCAATGGGAATGCCAGATTTACTTAACAACCATGTTACTAACTTAATAACCACAGTGATTCATTTCACAACGGTGGCAAGGACAGTCGTAAAATGGAGCAAAACTACTTCAACCACTGTCGCTTAGCAACAGAAATTTGGGGCTCAATTGTTGTCATAAATCAAGGACTAACCTGTACTTTCCAAAAGTCTGAACAGTCTGTATCTGTAAAAAGGTTTGGATACATCAAATCCGAACTGTTGTCTTTTCCATTTTAAGTGATTCTGATATATTACTAGAAGGAGACATCTTTAAGGTTCCAAAGCATAACTTAATGACATTTGTGAGTTCTCCAATTTTTGTAGCAATGAAGAGGCAGTATTGGACAATATGAATCTGGATGCTCCAGGTTTAACAGGAAGTTTAAAAACTAATCTGTAACAATTTAAATAAACATCATACAATACTATTACTTTGACATAACAGAAAAGTACTAATTTTTCCACAATGTTTTTTTTTATATTTTTTCATTCTTTTTTTTCTTTTGTGCTGTTTAATTTTTTTTAGAGATATAATTTACTCAAAAAGGTTGAAATGAAATGAAATGTGTTAATTTGGTTTTTAACCATTATTACTTGTATTATTACTAGCACTACTACTATAATTAACTGCATTGGTTTGAAAATTCAATAAAAATTGCTATCGTTCAAAAAACACTTTCCCCGCCCGCCCCCCCTCAATGTTTTTTTGACAAATCTTTAGATGCCGGAATCTGCACCTTTGATATTTGTTAAACTTTCTCTACTTTTTCAAAAGTGAAACATAATTGCCAGCTTTTCTCCATATGTATTTGTCAGGAGCATGTTAATGTACAACTCTACATCCTTTCTACTTTCTTCACAACCACAAATAATATGATCACAGCTTCTGGTCTTTGCATTCTACTCAAGGTGCATGTGTACAACATTCAGTTAATGCAACAGGAATTATCAATTACCAAGAGCAACAAGCATCTTGTAACAACATTCTATCACTGACATAATTACAGCACATTTATCATTCATATGTCTTTTTTTTCAAACAATTACTACAGATTTGTTATTCTGACTTCACCTTCTAATAGGTTAAAACACTGGTCTTTCCATTGCTTGATTTTATTGCATGGTATCCAACATTCCAATTATCTGGTTCATTTACCATTTTTTATTCTCGTTCTTTGTTCAGACTGGGGTTTATAACGTCCTTATAATTCTTTGGGGTCAGCACAGTCACCTCTCCTACATTGTTAATGGAATATGAAGTTGCTTAACAAACTTGACCAAAACATTTCTCTTGTATGCTTGCTGTTACTCTACAACTTACTGCTTCAGAAGAACCAGAATTCTCCCCCACTCAAGTTCTCTATATACTTATTTCATATATTTTTTTAAATCCCTCTATTTACAGAGTCCCATGGAATCAAAGAACTAGGCTCACGTCATTCTACTCTTGGTTTCCCCAATAAACCTCCCACCAGTCCCCCACCATTGAAGAAATGACCACACCATTCATCAAGATATGTGAAATATGATCTAGTTCCTATAGGATTTTAGAAGATAGCTTGACTTTCTTTTTAAAAAAATCGGTATTGCCATCTCCTCCTCACGATCAATATCTTAGAAAAATGCTCTTCAGCCTCTTGCCTAGACTCGGTAAACTGTGCTAATCAAGGTTTAACGTCACAGTGAATCCCAATAAACCTGGGCACAAGCTTCAGTTGGAAACCAAGGCAAGCTTAGGCTGGGTTTGCAACAGAAAGGTAGCATCAGAGGTCTTTTGGCTGTTGAACAGTGATGAGATGAAGGGGGAAAGGAAGCAAGACACGAGCATTAAGGAGTGCCCCTGCAGACCAGGTTATTTCTTCAAGGAAGCATTCCCAAGAGTCAACAGTTGCTCAGTTGGAAGAGGTGATGGCTTGTGAGCAGCCTGGTCTATCAAATATTGCATCTTCTAGCACATGAAGTTAAACCCTCGTCTCGAAGAGTATCAGAAAGTATTGACAACCAAAAGTGTCCAGTTAATTTTTTTTTAAAAAAAGATCAGTGCTCTAGTCCTGAGTTAGGTATGAGTCCAGGACTTCCTGTTAATTCCAGAAGATCTTCCAGGAGACAACCAAAAAGGTCTACCTCTTGGCTCCCTTTCATCGGTACTCCTTTCAGCATCTCCTGTACTACAATGCAAGTCAGCTTTGTTGTCTTCTAAAAATGCGCAAGCCTTTTTAAAATGGTTGGTTTCTTCAATCTTTCAGGTTAAACTTGATAAGACTCGATTAGAAAGAGACAGGTTGAATCAGAGATAGGTTTGTGTTGTTGGGGTTGTTGTTGTTTTAAAAAAGGGACAGCATTGAGACCGAAAAAGATGACGAGGCACTCGAGGTTCCAGTCTATGCATAAAATTCCTCCTGCTTGTCAGGTTTTTGGTATGTGACACTTGCCTGCTTGGGCTCTTCCAGCGTGTAGCTTCCTTCGTCTTTCTTCTTCATCCGGTAGATCAACAGCATCACCAGGAAAGTTGCAAAGAGGGCCCCAACGACTCCTCCCACAATCACAGCTGCAAAGGGACAACAGAGGAAAGTTAGTGAGATTTGTATCGGCTTACCTTTTGTATAAACACCCCCAAAAAAATTAATTGAATATTAAAAGCCTGAGGAAGTAGGAGGAATGGGCAAGTGGATGGATGGATGGATAGATGGGTGAACAGATAGTTGGACAAATAGGTATCAGGAGTGTCTACATAAGAAGAAAAATAATTGAATATTAAAAGCCTGAGGAAGTAGGAAGGAATGGGCAGACAGATGGATGGATGGATGGATGGATGGATGGATGAACGGGCAGATGGGTGGACAGATGGGTAGACCAATAGATATCAGGAGTGTCTACATAAGAAGAAGAAAAATAATTGAATAGTAAAAGCATGAGGAAGTAGGAAGGAATGGGCAGATGGATGGATGGACGGATGGATGGATGGATGGATGGATAGAAAGATGGGCAGATGGGCAGACAGATGGGTGGGTGGGTGGGTGGACAGATAGATGGGTGGATAGATATCAGGAGTATCTACATGAGAAGAAGAAAAATAATTGAATATTAAAAGCCTGAGGAAGTAGGGAGAAATGGGCAGGTAGATGGATGGATGGATGGATGGATGGATGGATGGGCGATGGGTGGATGGAGTGTCTACAGAGGAAGAATCAAAATAGTCAAGAGGGAAGCTGCAACCGCACTCCTGAAGCCTCATCCCCTTTTTAACATGCCGCACGCATAAAAATGGAGTGAAACTTTGATTGTATGGTTGTGCACACCATCTTGACTTTTTTTTTTATCATCCTACCTACACCGCAGCTACCTCTGATGTATTTTACATTTCATTGATTCTAAAGAAGGGTTTTCATGCTCCCAAAACTTTAAGCCTTCCATGAAGCTTTGAAAAAACTGGTTTTTCTCCCCCGGGGACTGGACCAGGGCATTAGATAGCCAGTTCTGTAAGGGTTATGAGAATGATTGGGGCTGGCTTTGTATGTACACAAGAATGGAAGGAAGGAGCTCTGCTGGATTGGACCCCTGACACATTTTAGTCTAGCAGCCTTTTGAAAGCTGAAAATTTGGAATTTATTTCTATTTATTTATGGCCAGTGACCAGAGAACTAGCTGCAACAATAAAAACAGCGCATGAAAGGAGGCTCAGATACAATGAGAGCAAAAGGTGTTGCACAATAAATCAAACCTGGCAGGGAGAGAACTTTAAGGAAAATCTGTTTTAAACAACAGCGTGAGAAAAACAAAAACAAAAGAAAAAAGGCCATAAAAAAAAAACAAGGACTGTGGAAAGTTTGGTTTAGAAGGGCATTTGGAGACTCTGAATCAAATCTGGCTTTTGAAACAAATCCGATAAGATCAAATCGCTGAACTGAATGTCTCAAAGTCAATTCTGACTCAGACTGGACCAAAAGTAATCGTCACATCCAGTCAAAATGGTTATGACATGGAATATATATGCTAAACATAATGCACATATAGGGAAATTGCAAATTTGGGCATGTGAACTTTTCTCTATAGCTTTGTGTTTCTCCTTCCTCTGCTTTCTTTCTCCCAAGCTATAGTCCAGCTTGCAGTATCAGATAGCCTGGCAGCTGCCTTAGATTCAGATACAGGTTATCAGAGCTAGAAGGGACCTTGGAGGTCATCTACTCCAAACCCCCCCATACAAACAAGCAGACACTACACCATTTCTGACAGATGGCAGTCCAGTGTCTTCTTGAAAGCTTCCAGGGACGAAGCTCCCACAACTTCTGAAGGCAACTTCTGTTCCATTGGTTGATTGCTGTCACTGTCAGGAAATTTCTTCTCATTTCCAGGTTGAATCTCTCTCCTTGTTCAGTTTTCATCCATTATTCTTTGTCTGGCCTTTGGGTGCTTTGGAAAACAGCTTGGCCCCCTCCTCTCTGTGGCAGCCCCTCAAATATTGGAACACTGCTATCATGTCTTTCCTGGTCATTCTCTTCAGTAGACCAGCCATGCCTTGGTTGCAAGTAATGCCTTCCAAGCAAGATTCACTGTGTCTTCTTTAACATTTATTGAGATTAAAGGGATGGGAAGCGGTCATCAAAATTCTAGCCATGGAATTATTTCCTGTTAGGAACCACTGTATCCCCACATGGACTGGATAATTTCTCTCTCTTTAAGGTACAGCCACAAATAATAGGGGATCAACCTATTTTCCAAAGCATACAAAAGGTAGGACAAGAAGCAATGGATGGAAATTCATCATGGGGAGAAGCAACCTAGAACTAAGGAGAAATTCCCTGACAGTTAGAACAATTAATCAGTGGAACAACTTGCCTTCAGAAGTGGTGGGTGCTTCATCACTGGAAGCTTTTAAAAAGAAACCGAACAGCCATTGGTCTGAAATGGTATAGGACATGGGGCGTCAAACTCAATTTCATTGAGGGCCGCATCAGGATTGTGTGTGACCTCAGGGGGCCAGGGTGGGGCGTGGTCAGGGTGGGTGTGGCCAGCTTGACGTCACTTGTGTCAGGGGCACCTGGGGTGGCCCAAGAGCTCTGCCAGCCAAAATGGGCTCCTGAGCTCCATTTTTGGCTGTGATGGCCTCTTGCGACCCTCTGCCAGCAAAAACAGAGCTCCCTGCTCCCAAGGGTTGCAGGACGCCATCACAGCCGAAAACGGAGCTCGGGAGCCCATTTTGGCTGGCAGAGCTCTTGGGCCGGTCCTTTGTAGTTACCAGGGTGACCCAGTGGGCCAAGCACCCTACAGGCCAGATCTGAACCCTGGGCCTTGAGTTTGACACCCCTGGTATAGGGTCTTCTGCTTAAGCAGGGGGCTGGACTAGAAAAATCACCAAAGTCCTTTCCAATTCTGTTATTCTGCATATTCTTTCTAACAACCTTCCAGTGATCCAGCGAAGTGATGAGCCTTTTCATGGAGAATGGAGAAGGTTGCAGCTAGCTTTCTACACGAATCTGGATCAGTCTGGCAACTAACCGATGCAATACAGTAAATTCCTCAAGGCAGCATTTTGCTTTCAGCACTCTGGAAAGCCACATCATGCACTCCGGTGCAAGGAAGCCAAAGTTCACCCCCTTCTCTCCTTCAAACACAGCTTGGGAGCCAGACTGGCAATCTGTAATACACCTTACCTATGAGCACTTCTTTCCTTTCCAATATGTTTTTCTGGGGCAGTTGTGCTGCTGAATTCCCAGACTCTATTGTATTGTCCAGCAGCCCTGGTTCCATTTTCTTTTTCAACTCTGGCCCAGCTGCAGGGGTGACCAGAGGCACCACTTCGTTGCCCAGCTCGGTCTGAGCTACCTCTTCCTCCTCGTGGATTTCAAAGTCCCCACTGATGGGAACTTCAAGTTCATTCATTGTGACTGTAGAAAGGGTCGTTTCCATGGGTTCCGCCTGGAAGAGAGAGAAGAAGAAAAAAGAGCGTACAGAAAGCAGGAAAGTGAAATAATGCATTTCTCTCCATCACTCCACCAGGCTGATGAGCAAGACAATACTTGTCTACAACTTGGGTTGGCCTGAGATATAGGATGACAGACATTGATGATCCACGCCTTTAAAAGAACCTGCAGAAGTAGGTCGAACAAAAGTTTTAACCCGAGACTATTTCCCCTCTTTTGGGGATGAAAGAGAAGCCTTCAAGGAGACCCATCACCCCTTAAAATCTCAAAACGAGCACTGACTGTTAAGCATTCATCATTTTTATAGGAAGCTATGGGAAGAGGAAAAAGAGGCCAAATGAAAAAATGGTTGTATCCAAGAAAAAAGAACAAGGTATTCCTCCTTCTGCCATGAGCCTAATGATCTTTAATTTCGCTATTCTCCTCCTACAGATGTTCCCTTCTCCATCTCTCTCTCTCTCTCCCTCCCTCCTATCTATCTATCTATCTATCTATCTATCTATCTATCTATCTATTCTTAAGTTTTCGTGGGTACTTACATGTATGGTATTCAGTATATATATATGTCTCTCTTTGTCTCACTCTCTGTGTCCCCATCTCTGTCTCTCTGTCTCTCTCTCTCTGTCTCTCTGTCTCACTCTCTGTGTCCCTATCCCAGTCTCTCTGTCTCTGTCTCTCTATCTCTCTCTGTGTGTCTCTCTTTCTATTTAGAGAGTGTCCCACTCTCTGTCTCTCTCTCCCCCTCTCTCTGTCTCTCTATATCTCTCTCTCTTTCTGTCTCACTCTCTGTCTCTGTCTCTCTGTCTCTCTTTGTCTCTGTCTCTCTGTCTCTCTCTGTCTCTGTCTCTCTCTCTCTCTCTCTCTCTCTCTCTCTCACACACACACACACACACCACCCAAAGACTGCACTGCCCAGGGCTATTTAACATGAGAAGAAAGTTTCAGCAAGACTGCTTTTCCCCCCACCCCCGAATCAAGCTTTATACTTTTGACAAAACAGATCGACTTCCTTCTACTTGGCCTCTGTTCCAGTTTATCTCCCCTGGGATGATGGTGAAATACATGGCAGATAGGTGACCAATTTCACTAGGAACTGTTGTTTTTTGCCGCCTTGGTGGACTCAGCTCTGCTGCTTTTAGGGATGCTGGCCAGGAGAGGGAGCAAGAGATTCATCCCTTTTGAGCTAGCCCCGCCCCCCCACCTCTCCACCCATATTTAGTCATGCCTGTCACAAATTGAGTCTTCAAGATGCGAAAAAGGAAAAGGAAAAGAATAGTCTCCTCCTGTGAGTTTGCTTGGGAAAACAGGAGGAGGAGAATCCCTAGATCAGCAGACTGAAATGTCTAGTGGGTAAAGGGAAGGAATCTGCTTGGACAGCAGCTTCAGGATAGAAATTATGATCCATAAAAGAGCAATGGTGGGCAAACCCCATCTTGAAACCCTTGAGGGGAGAGAGACAGAGTTAGGACATCCTATTGCAAACTGAGTGTGGACTTCCCCAAATTCTCAACAATATTGATGATGGAATTTCGAGAGTTCCAGTTTGCACATCTGGAACAGGCTCAATTTGGAGGTGACTTGATGATGAATGAGAGAAATCAAAACACGAATAGGTAATATAGCCACGTCTTTTCATAATGATGCAAAATGTCTTATTCTGTCTCTGTGTTTCCTGGTACCAGCCTGGGCAATCTTTGTACTGCCCTGAATGAATGAATGAATGAATGAATGAATGAATGACAGACAGACAGACAGACAGACAGACAACAAGAATGAAAGAAAAAGCTTTTAAAAGAGGGCTCTAAATGAATGTTTAAATGCACGAATTTCTCAGGTATGTTGATGAAAAAGGAGGAAAACACATCTGGGATCACAGCCAGGAAATATTTGAAAGCCAGGATGGTAGAAATAATAATATGATAATAACAGGTCCTTAGGGAAAACAAGACAAGTGGACAACAACGCTGTTTCCAATCTAGATACCTGGCTAACTTTGAACCAACCAAAATAAGAAAAAGGGACATTTGAAAAAAAGTACCTGTGGGACAGCAACAAAGAGGCACTGAAGCCAGTACACCATGAAGGTTTACTGAATACCAAAGAGACCAAACTGATCTATAAGAAACAGCAAATTAAGAAAAGGAGAGAAGAAGCCAAGAATAGGAAAGTTGAAGAAAGAGACACAGGCAGGGATAAGCTACTGGGTGATTTGCAGGGGTTTAGGAGAGCCACTAGCTAAGATTCTGTGCAGTTCAGAGAACCCCCAAATCCCACTCTTGGCTGGCCACACCCACCCCACCCCATCCCTCCCAGGAGTCCCTACGTGGCCTGTTTTGGATGCAGGTAAATGCAGGGCACGTGTAGAGGTTCAGGAAGGGCAAAAAACAGGCCTCACGGAAGTTCAGGAAGGCCGGAAATGGGCCTGTTTCTGGCTTCCAGAGAGCCTCTGGAGCCCAGGGAGCCCATTTTTGCCCTCCCGGAAGCCTCTGGAGCCTGGGAAGGGCAACCCAGCCCCCGCTGTGGTGCAGGTGGCCGACTAGGCCATGTCCATCATGGCCACCCAGCAACTGTTGCGAAAAATTTTGAATGCCACGCCTGGACACAGGGGCTAATTCTGGCTGCCTTATGAACAAATCCTTAGAAAGTCAGAATTGGGAAGACAATAAACAGATAGCAACTGCCATCTCTGCAAAGTAGCTGAAGAAACAGTGAACTGACTAGGTAGCTGCTGCAAGAAGATCCACAGACAGATTACGAACAATGGCATAACAATGTGGCATTCTGGGACTGTAGAATTCAAACAGACAAGCATCCACTCCACAACATCCCAGAAATGAGAGGAAAGGCTTAGAGGAACAAGTCAAAAGAGTGTCCCAAAGGTGCTTTACCAAAAGGCAACTGGGCCTTCTTGGTTTTTTCCCTTGCAAACATTTCACTTCTCATCTAAAAAGCTTCTTCAGTTCAGTTGAGAGAGGGGGGGTGGTGGGAGACTGAGACTGAGACTGAGACTGAGACTTTTGGCTTCATGCAAGGAAAGCAGCAGAAGCAGTTTGGGGGAGAGAAAGAAAGACCTTTGCTGCTCTCCTTGCGTGCAGCCAGAAGCAGAAGAAGAAAGAAGCAGCCTGGTGGCCAGGCAAGTCCCCCCCCCCCCCCGCCCCCCCCCCCCTCACTACCTCGTTTTGCAAGCGACGCAAGCCTTGTGTTCCTGCGGGCCATGTGGGCAGCGCAGCCTTGTGTTGCACTGCACAGCCTGGATTAATGGCTTTGAGGGTGACATTTCTCTGTGGACCACCAAAGTTTTCTCACGGACCACCGGTGGTCCCCAGCTCACTGGTTGGTGACCGCTGACCTGGATGATCGAGAATCTCCACAGGCATTAAGCCAGAGGAGTAAACCCAGCTCTGATTGATCCTTGGCTTGGCACAGGCACTTGGTTGGCACTTGCACTTGGTTCTTCTACTTCATCCTTCACCTCAGCCTCTTCCCACCTACACACAGCTGGTCCCTGCTTTTTAATATGCTAACAATGGCGAAGAAATGCTACCATTCCCTTTTCTTCTTTTTCTGTTTCCCATAGAGAGAATAGAGTGAGATCCGATTTCCCTGCAACACCTGTCATATTTACAACCACCCAGACTGTTAAAAATGATGCCATATATGGCTGTGATTCATTCAGGCCGCATCTGTTGAAGTGACATGACTTTTTTCCCCCTCTCTTTGTCTTCCTCTTAGAAAATGTCATAACCACAATGCGTAATTGATTCAGGAAAAACCATTTTCTCCCATAAGGAAAGGCAATGATGGTCTGCTTGGAGGAACTTTGGAGCTGACATCAAGGGCTCCTTGAAGGGCTGCAGGATTGGCTAACCAAAGTTTTGGGTAATACACTTTCCGAGCTAAAAGTTCAGCATCCCTTTTCTATTGACACAAGGGCCCTAGAAGTGTTTTATAGAACATAGAATAACAGAGTTGGAAGGGACCTTGAGGTCATCTAGTTCAACCCCCTGCTTGACCAAATGTTAGTTTTTACCTAGGATCGAACTCACAGCCTCCGGATTGTGAGGCAAGAGTTCCACCTCTAGGCCACCAGCACTGGACATCTAAATGGCTAGGTCTGCAACAGTGGTGGGATTCAAAATCCCGCCTCTGACTGGCCCCGTCCCCATCTATTCTCCGCCTCACGAGTCCCAGCTGATTGGCTGGGTCTTCTTTGGTTGCCCTGCACAGGAGAACGGAGCTGGAAAGCAGGTTAGTGGGGTGGGGAGGGAATGGGGATTTTGCAGTATCCTTCCCCTGCCATGCCCACAGAACCGGTAGTAAAAATTTTGAATCCCACCACTGGTGTTAGCTACTTTGAGTAATGAAACATCTGCAAGAAAGCCACCAAGCTCAGAGAGCACTAAGGAGTCTTTATTTTTCTCATTGCTTTTGCTTGTTTCAAGTAGGACTACCTTCAGACATTTGAGATTGCACTCAACAGAATAGACTGGAGGATCTGGGATGAATGATATAAGGGAGATTTGTTAAAATGAATAGGCAAATGTTGTTGTTGCTATTGTTGTTGTTGTAGAACTAATACCAATGTAATACCAATGTAATGAACATTATTGTAAACACTTTGATTATTATTTCCTAAAACTATTTGTACTCAGACAACCTACTGTTTAATTGAAAATTGAAATGTTATGTTATAGAATAAAAATTATATCTATGTATAATGATATGACATGACACGACACGACACGACACGACACGACACGACACAACACAACACAACACAACACAACATAACATAACATAACATAACATAACATAACATAACATAACATAGCATAGCATAGCATAACATAATAATATACTGGAGGATCCAAAGATAAATAGTTTAGTTTTGTTTTGTTTAGTTTACTGTATTGTCATTGCACCTCGTACAACGAAATCAAACACCATCTTCAGTGCACATCATGACCATGAAAATAAACACAAACACACATCCTTCACAGTCCACACATTGAATTGAAAACCCACAACACTGCACCAACATTGCACTATACAGTAGAATTCAAAAGAGCTACTGCCCTGGAATAGAAGCTGTTTTTCAGCCTATTTATTCAACCTATTTAAATAGGTTGTTATATCATCTGAAATAACAGCTGACATGAACTTGAACCTGGAACTTGAACAGTTCTGGGCTAATGCCTTCCATCACCATTTCACCAACATTCCCCATTGAATCCCAATGACCTAATACGGTAGATCTTGATAAATATATTAAAACGCCAGTTTTCATTTCATTTAAACACTTCTTGGTTTCTAAAACTTTAGCAATTCAAAATCTAGATCTGTTTGCAGCTTAATTTTTTTTTTCGTTCGTGTCATTCCTTTTTGGCGATACTGTTCATTCGATTGTTTTATATGTAAATTCCTGTTCTAAGTTGCCATGGAGACCACACACAAAGGAATAAGACATTAAAGTATTATCTACTCACGTAAATAACTAAATTTTTAGTTTGGGTTAATTACAAGTTTCACTGATGGGGCTCCTGGTTGCTCAGGTTTGTGTGTGTGTGTGTGTGTGTGTGTGTGTGTGTGTGTGTGGTTGTAGACAATAGCAGAAGTGGGATTTCTACAATTAGTTTAATCAATTTTAAAAGTCTGTTTTCTAGTAGGATGGTAACAGGTATCTTTAGATGCATAATTTAATTCTATATTATGTTTCCTCTCCATGCTAATGAGTGTTGTATTTTACAGGCTCACAGAGGAAACACAAATGATTAAATACCAGGGATCTAATTCAAAGCATTGCCAAAGATGTCTCTTTGAGCCCATCTAGTGAGGATGAGCTAATTATCCTCACACAGTGTTGGTTCCTCTGCTGAAATGATTTTTATTATTTTCTTGAACATCCAAATGGAATCTGCCTTCCTGTTGCTTATTTTGTTTCTGGCAGTCTCGCTCAGTTAAAAAAAAAAAAACACAAGTCATCACCTTCTCCTTCCTAACTTCTTTTGTAAATCCCAAAGGTGCTTTTCCAAAAAGCAGCTGGACTTTCTTGGGTTTTTTTCCTTGAAAACCTTTCGCTTCTCATCCAAGGAGCTTCTTCAATTCTCATCCTTCTTGGATAAGGAACGAAACGTTTTCAAGGAAAAACAGAGAAAGTTCAGATGCCTTTGGGACAACCATGATCTGGATGAGTGAGAATCTCCACAGAGATTCTTGTTCTGTAAATCATTCTCACAATCTTCCCATTGACACCATCTTCCTTTAGAACAAAAAAGTACCCGGAGACAGAAAAAGAAGCAATGGGTGGAAACTAATCAAGGAAAGAAGCAACTTAGAACTAAGGAGAAATTTCCTGACAGCTAGAACAATTAATCAGTGGAACAACTTTCCTCCAGAAGTTGTGAATGCTCCAACATTGGAAGTTTTTAAAAAGAGGTTGGACAATCATTTGTCTGAAGTGGAGGAGGGTTTCCTGCCTAGGCCGGGGGTTGGACTAGAAGACCTCCCAGGTCCCTTCCAACTCTGTTATTCTATTCTAAAACCATCATCCCCTGAGTTTCTCCTTGCAAGCCTCAAGGTCTAGACCTCTGGGAATTCTTGGGGCCATTTCTTGGTATTTCTTCCACTTTCCCTGAATGTCTCTTAACATGTGGTGCTTAGATCTAGACATAATACTCAACGCATAACTTGTCCAATGAAGAACAGTGACACACACAAACCTAATTTGGAAAAACTATACCTCTGCCTTTGACTGATTTAGCAAATATGTCACACCACTGACTCACATTTCACTTGTGATTAGTCTCCAGTTCCTTTTCACAAACACTGTTACTAATCCGCAAAATCAACTGTCACATTGCAACCAATTCTACATGGAATAAACATCACATCAATTAAAAACCAGGATCCACGAACACCAGCTGGCAGTCAAACGTCACAATCCCAAATCTTTAATCTCTACCCACACCGACGCTCAACAGCACCAGTTCGATTGGAATAACACAAAAATCATTGGCCACCCTATCGCCCACCGTGCTTGTGAGTTCATCGAAGCCTGGCACCCCACAAGCAATTCCATCAACAGACACAATGACCTACAACCAGCCTATGAACCCCTCAGAATCCAAATCAACCAGATGGCCAACTAGACACAGCACCAACCCTCAACCTGATGGATTTCAAAGATCAGTCATTGTGAAGGATGCCAAGATGTCTGACTTCCTGGGCAGCGTTTATTCTTTTATACCATTTTTACAAGCAAGGAAGAGTAGTATAGACACAGTATTTGGATTGGAGAATAGATTCCACATGGGTGAAACCTCCCAACCACATTGGTACAACCTCCCAACCAATCCTTAAGACTAGTGGTGATGTTAGTAAAATGAGATCACCTACATGTCTGGAAAGTCTAGGACTTTCCACCTTCACCAAGATATAGGGAATGAGATCATGCAAGTAGCCAAGAGGCCCCATATAGGTTTTAAACACTGCAGTTTGCTGCTAGCATCTAGCGCCATCTATAGGATCTCAGTAGCTACTACACAACCAACTCACACAATCCCCCCACACAAGCACATTGCTTCCCATTGACCTTGACCTGATATAATCTCCTTATCAAAATACCCATCACAAAACTCCCTGATGACTCACAGCTGACTCATCACAAGACCCTCACTAGATACACCCATATCTGAAACCCTTATAAACAGAAGAACACTGACATCCAGGGGTGGGATTCAGCCTGTACGGACTGGTTCGGGTAAAGCGGGTAGTTCCCACGATTAGTTTGCCCTGCCCACATACCCCTGCCCTAGTCTGTCTTACATTCCTTTGTTTTTCATGCCAGCTGATTCGCGGGGCACAGCAGATTGCACAGTTCAGCTGTTTTTACTCACCATAGCTGCAGCAGAAGGTAAGTTTTAGCTGAAAAAGTGTCATTTTGAAGTGCTTACACGAGCAAACCGTGCACTCACTGAACCGGTTGTTACACCAGTGGAATCCCACCCCTGCTGACATCCCCTAAACTCCGCTGAAGATGTAGCTGGCCTGGTAAAGAAATGTCTGGAAACCAACCCACAAGCTCGGAGAATGAACCTTTTACCTTCACACTATTGCTATACCCAGCCTGGTATCTCTCATTCTGTACTAACACAACTGATGTTTTTCTTCTAAGTGAAGAACCTCACACCCATCTCTGCTAAATTTCAAGCTGTTACTTTCAACCCACGTCTCAAATCATCCATCTGAATTTTATTTCTCTCTTCTAGAGTGGTAGTAGTACAGTAGTAGCAATCCCACCCAGTGGGATGTCATCTGGAAATCTGATAATCATTCCCTTGACTTCTTCATTCAAGTCATCTGAGGAAACACTGAAACTATTAGAAATTAGGGGCAAAGGCTGTAGCCTCCCGTTATCACTCTACTCTCACTACGGGTAGTCCTTGACTTATGACCATTGGTGTTGTTAAGTGAGGCATTAAGTGAATTTTGCCTCCACTTTATGACCTTTCTAGCCACAGTTATTAAGTGAATCATTTCAGTTATTAAGTTAATAAAATGGTTGTTAAGCAAATCTGGATTCTCCATTGCCTTTGCTTGTCAGAAGGTCATTAAAAGCTGTTCACATGACCCCAGAACACTGCAACTGTCATAAATATGAGCCAGCTGCCAAGCATCCGAATTTTGATAACATGACCACGAGGGTGCTGTGAAAAATGGTCATGTCATTTTTTTTCAGTGCCATTGTAACTTTGAATGGTCGCTAAATGAACTGTTGTAAGTCAAGGACTCCCTGTATTTATTTTTCCTTCTTTGCATATGCAGACTCCACCCCAAATCCTTTTTCTCAGGTGAACAGCCAAACACAGAAGAAACAAAGAAGGGATGAACATTTGCCCTGAAATGGCACTACCAACGTAGTGAACCTATTGCTTCAAAACCAATTGGCCCCAACAATATTGAACTGTTTCTAAACAAAGAATGACAGGAAGACAGGAAAATGGAAGGAAGGGAGGAAAATAATGATTGGCTGGCATTGATTGGTTGATTGATTGACAAACAGGCAGAAAGACCAGAAGGACTGCTTTGTGAGCTTATTATACCTTATCACTAAGTATTGTATCTTATGATTTATCATGAATGTATTTTTACAATGATTATGATAATGATGTATGATTATTGCTTGTATGTACACTGACAGCTTATGCACCGGAGACAAATTCCTTCTGTGTCAATCACATTGGCCAAAAAAGAATTCTATTCTATTCTATTCTCTATTCTATTATTCTCTCCTATTCTATTCTGTTCTGTTCTATTCTACTATTCTATTCTACTCTATTCTCTATTCTATTATTCTCCTATTCTATTCTACTATTCTATTCTATGCTATGTATTCTATTCTCTATTCTATTGTTCTCTGTATTCTATTCTACTATTCTATTCTATTTTATTCTACATATTCTATTCTACTATTCTATTATTTTCTCTATTCTATTAATCTATTCTATTATTTAGTCTCTTTAATAACTAAAAAATATATATTCTATATATTATATTCCATATTCCATATTCTATTCTATTCTGTTCTTTAGACCTGAAAGATTATGGCTTAGCAGGGATGGGGAAACTATGGTCCTTTCGAAGTCCACAAGTCACAAGCCATAGTTCCCCACCTCTGGTTTAGTGCATGCAGAAACCACCATACTGAGAGATACAGCCTGTCTTAAAACACTTTCCTACCTGAGCAGCATCGGTCGGTGTTGCTGTGGGAGGCTGGGGCACTGTGGTAACATCTGGTTCCTGCGAAGTGCTGAGCTGGGCCGTATCTCTGACCTCTGTCTCAGTGGTTGTCCCCAGGGGAGAAGCTGGAATTTCCGTTCTGGCTACAGTAGCCGTTGTCGGGGTTTCGAGCATCATCGACTGTGTCACGGCAACAATTGTGATCACAGGCAGCAGGTCTCTCAGGGCAGTGGTTGGTCTAGAGGTAACCGTTGTGGCGGAGGCCATCGTAGCCATGCGAGAAGCAGTCGTGGTCATTGCAGTAGTAGCGACGTCACGGGCTGCAGGGGTTGCAGTAACCCCTACTGCTTTCCAGATGGTGACTGCTGGCACTTCTGAAATCCTGGGAATGTATAGACCGTTGGTGGCGGATTCAGAAATAACTTCCTCCGTAGGGAGTGGTGCCAGAGGAGTGGCAACCGGTTGCACAGATGTGACAGGCATCACAGCGGAGGTGGTAGCAAGAACGATGGGTGAATCCGTGGTGAGCCGCACAACCGACTTGGATCCGGGATCCTGCTTGAAATCTGCAAGAGAGAACAGGAACTTCATCTAGAAAACAATACAGGAGTATTCCTCGACTTACGACCTCAATTGAAGCCCAATGCTTCTGTTAGTTAGTTAGTTGGTTAGTTAGCTAGTTAGCTAGTTAGTTAGCCAGCTAGCTAGTTAGTTTACTTTATTGTCATTGCACCTCGTACAACGAAATCAAACACCATCTTCAGTGCACATCATGACCATGAAAATAAACACAAACACACATCCTTCACACTCCACACATTGAACCGAAAACCCCCGACATCACACCAACAGTGCACTATACAGCAGAATTCAAAAGAGCTACTGCCCTGGGATAGAAGCTGTTTTTCAGCCTATTTGTCCTTGTTTTTATTATCCTGTACCGTCTGCCAGATGGCAATAGTTCAAAAAAAAAAGGGTGCCCAGGATGAGATGCATCTTTGAGAATGTTTAGAACTTTCTTAAGGCAGCGGAAGCTATAAAGCTCTTCCAAAGAGGGGAGAGGGCAACCAGTGATACTCTGGGCAATGATGTTAACCCTCCAGAGTGCTGTCCTATCTGCCACTGTGCAATTGGCAAACTATACACAGGTGCAGTAAGTTGAAATACTTTCTATGGTGCAGCAGTAGAAGATCACTAGCAGTTTTTCATTCAGTTGTTGTTTTCTGAGAAGTCTCGGGTAGTATAATCTCTGCTGGGCCCTTTTGACCAGGGCTGCAATGTGAGCACCCCCAGGTCAGGTCCTCTTTTATGGTAACACCCAGAAACTTAAAACTGGCCACTTGCTCCACTCAGTCTCCACTGATAAGCAAGGGCTGGATGTCTGATCTGTTCCTTCTATAGTCCACCATAAGCTCCTTGATCTTATTGGCATTGAGGACCAAGTTTTAGTCTCCACACCATGAAAGCAACTGGTCCACCTCACCTCGGTAGGCAGACTCATCCCCCCCGAAGATATGTCCCACCACTGTTGTATTATTTGCAAATTTAGCAATATTACTAGCATGAGCAGGAACGCAGTCATGCACATAAAAAGTATAGAGTAAAGGACTCAACACACAACCCAGTGGTGTACCAATGTTAAGAATAAGGGCTGAAGAGGTATGGTTATGTAATCTCACCCTCTGTGAGCGGCCAGACAGGAAATCCATAATCCAAATTCTGTTGCTTGTTCAGTGAATATTGCCCCATTTTTCTTGCCACGGTTGTTAAATGGATCACTGCCGTTGATAAGTTAGTAACCTGATTGTTAAGTGAATCGGATTTCCCCCCCGCTGACTTTGCTTGTCAGGTCACAAAAGGGGATCATGTGACCTTGGGGACAACAGCAGCGGTCATAAAGGTGAACCAGTTGCTGAGCATCTGAATTTTGATCCCAAGGATCTTGGGGAACCTGCAAAGGTCATAGCTGTGAAAAATGGTGATAAGCCACATATTTTCATGCCGTTTTAACTTTGTACGGTCACTAAGCGAACTGTTGTAAGTTGAGGATGACCTTTACTCTAGATCAGTGGTCGCCAACCAGTGGGCCGAGGATCACTGGTGGTCCGCAAGAAAATTTTGGTGGTCCGCAGAGAAATGTCACTCCCAAAGCAATTAATCCAGGCTGCGCCACCCACATGGCCTGCAGAAACATAAGATAGTGATGGGAGGGGGGAAAGGGCAGAGGGGGGACTTTGCCCCACTCACACCACGCACCGCGCCCGGCCACCGGACTGCTTCTTTCTGTTTCTTTCTTCTTCTGCTTTTGGCTGCACGTAAGGAAAGTCTTCCTTTCTCTCCCCCAAACTCTGCCAGAAATGAGTCTTCGGGACTTCAGCCCACCGGTTGGTGACCACTGCAGTAGATTATTCAAGCTGATTAATATTAGTTTATGCAGAGTGGCATGGTGGCCTAGAGGTGGAGATCTCTCCTCACAATCAGGAGGCTGTGAGTTCGATCCTAAGTAGAGGCAGATCTTTCTCTCTCTGGGCACACTGAGAATATATCTGCTGAACAAAACTCCTCATTGGTGACAGGAAAGGCATCCAGCCATTAAGGCACTCTGCTAGCTCCATTCAGTTGCCCAGACTCTACCTAACAAGGGATTATGGGGTCATTAAATAATGGTGATTAATATTATTAGTTATAACAACTGCAATGCCACAAGTGAAACAAGATACCACAAAGAGTTATCTTATAATACAAATTGGGAAAACTGTAGTCCTCCAAATAAGCCACAGTTCCCCCCCAGCCCACACAGAATGCCTTAAGGATGACGGGTGCTGGGACTTGTCGTTTAGAAGAATCTGGAAGCATGCCAGTTTTCTGTTAGATGCACAACTCCCAAACTACAAGGGATCTACTCTTCATTCCTACCTGATGGCGCCCACGTTTACTATTCATTTTACTTCCACTGAAAAACTCCATCTCTTCAAAATAACTAAAGTCAATGAATGAATCAAAACAATGCACCGTGAACTGAATGAAAATTGAACTGTGGATATTAGCTGGCAAATTAGAGCATGCCAACTGCTCCAATTTGGGTTTTAATGGCATTCCTGCTATTTTAGTCAGTATTAATAACTTGCTTTGATTTTTTTTTTCAGTGTTTTTTTTACAACCAGAGCTGAATAATAGCATTGCGATTATCTCCGTGCTTCCTTCAGAAGTCATTCTTTTCGATTCAATGGAATTTGCCACTTGTTAATCTTTAAGCGATTTATACTCTTGAAGTATTTTTCCCCCTTTAAAAAGATGCAAATCTCCATAAATCCTAAGGCATCGTTCAACATTTCTTTTAATCTGTTGAATTTGGTCTGCAAGCAACAGCATGGAGAGAGAGTATGAATTGCAAAGGACTTGGGTGGGTGATAGGAACTCCACTCTACAATATTTGGACCCAAAGAATGCAAAGGGGTATCAGATCCAGCAATAAACACATTCTCAGGGGTATTCGATGGACACGGCCAGGATTTCAGCTCATGGTGCATTGGCCTAGAGGCGAAGCTCTTGTCTCACAATCAGAAGGCTGGGAGTTCGATCCTAGGTAGAGGCAGATACATTCTCAGTGTGCCCGGAGAGAGAAATATAAGTGGTGCAATGGCCTAGAGGTGAAACTCTTGCCTTACAATCAGGAGGCTGTGAGTTCGATCCTAGGTAGAGGCAGATATTCCTCTCCCCGGGCACACTGAGAATGTATCTGCTGAACAAAACTCTGCATTGGTGACAGGAAGGACATCTGGCCATTAAAACACTCAGCTATCTCCATTCACTTGCCCAGACTGCACCCCACAAGGGATTATGGGGTCATTAAATGGAGAGGATTGTGGGATTCAAGCAGTAAAACAGGTGAGTTAAGCTTCAAAGCTCCGCTCCTTCTCTTGTCAATAAAAACAGGATTGTTGGCCCCTATCTCAGTAGCAATAGAAATAGCTTAGACTTATATGCCCCTCCACAGAGAGTGCTTTACAGCCCTTTCTAAGCGGTTTTACAGAGTCAGATTAAAAACGCTTAGCGCTTCTTGAGAACTTTTTCCAGTGAGGCAATGGGGGTGACCAGAGACTGTTGATTGTAGTGAGGGAACACATGGCGCTGTGGGGTGTGTGTGTGTGTGTGTGAGAGAGAGAGAGAGAGAGAGAGAAGGGAAGGAGGGAGGGAGGGAGAAAAAGGGGGAGGAAGAGAGAGAGAAGAATCCGTCCATCATTCTACTGATCTCTGAAAAGTGAGCACACCATGAATGATAAGGCGGGGTCAGGTTTGCAGACTGCATTAAACCATGCTATGAACGAGGTTTGCCCATTGCATGAACCATGAGCAGTTAGCTGAGTTCACACCACATCCAAAAGAAAAATCACAGAAAGCCCCTGGTTGGCTTAGCATTTAAAAAATTCAATCCAAAGATGACATCTGCCTTTCCATCTATTCTACTAATCGGACAAATTCAAGCCACAACTGGAGTGACGTATTCCTTCCTAGCAGGACGTATGCTTTCCATTTTAGTTCCATACTCACATCCAGATCCAGATCCTGAATAGAAGTCCTCCATTTCCTCTAGTTCTTCATCTTCAAAGGAGTCGTCGTCCCCCGAGCCTTCCATGTCAATCGGCCGTTCAAAATTTTCATTCCGCCACTGTTGAGCCTAGCGGATCAAAAGGACCGACACAAATAAACGCATTATTCCCACAGATCCGACAGAAAAAACTTCCTATAGAGCAGCCTAAATAGTTTGGAGCCTATCTGAAGAGCTACAGATCACTTGTCCGGGACTGTGTAACTCTTCCTCCAGGGAACTGAAGATCCTTTCTCTGGCTTTCCTCTCTACTTCCTAGACTGCAAAGCTCATAAATTCCAGGCAGCGCAATTTTCTTTGGCAATGAAGGATAATCACCTCCAGTGCGAATTTCATGAAATCAACGACTAGCGTTCACCAAAGTCAAGCAGCTTGTAAAAGACCACTCACCTTGGGTGTCATTTATTATATATTTTCTCCTGGAGAAAAAGGGATAAAAATAGGTGGAAAATGCATCGAATATTTGTCGTTGTTCATTCAAGGCAGAATGGCTATTTTTCTGTTTTTAGAACTCTGCTGAAAATATTTTTTCTTTAAAAAAAAAAGCTCATAAAAAAACTGGATAGCCTGTTATAATTAACTTAGCTGGTTTAATGTTTCTCAGTGTTGATGACTTTAAAAATGGTTGGACTTCGGTTGGACTTCTGGGAGTTATAGTCCCCGTACCTTAAAAAGGCCAAGGCTGAGAAACACTGATTTATAAACAGCTTTAATGGAGTTTCACACTCTTGCAGATTTGCATTAGCAGAATGTACTTTTGTCCTTACATTGGTATTTGTGTCAATCTCCTCTCATCTAATGCCACATATTTTTGTATCAGTAGCATTTTTTTTTCTTGGAAGATAATCCAAGGATCAAGGAAGAGAAACAGCAACTTATGTGCATCTAAAAATGAAGAGATGCAGTTTTTCACTGGAAAAGTTTGACAGCAGCAGAAATACTACAAGCAATTTTTGCAAGCTTAGCAGAAAAAAAAAACCCTCTGGAATCTGCACTATGGAAGCCAGCCCTTAAGAGAAATCAAATGAATTCTGCAAGCGTCTCCAGCTGAATGTGGTTGCATCAGTGGTGGATTTCCCAATATTTTCTTACCGTTCTATGCGCACTTCTGTGCATATGGCTCAAATACCAATGCTGGTGAGCTGCCTGAACTGTTTTTTAGCTCAGCTGAGGTGTGGCTATCTGCTCTGCCACACAATCAGCTGTGCTAAAAAACAAGGAAATATAGGAGAGGTAATGGCAGGGGCAGGTGCGTGGGGCCAGTCTGAGATGGTATTTGCCAGTTCTCTGAACTGGTCAAAATTTCTGCTACTGGTATGCCAGAACTGGTCCGAACTGGCTCCACACCACCTCTGGGTTGCATCAACAACTACCTTGCAGCACCCCTATGCTGTAATAGTTAAGGTGTTTACTGGAACTGGGAAGGCTTTGCTTCTCCATTTACCATCGGTCACAAAAGCTCACTAGATCAGGGGTCTCCAAACCCCCAGGGCAGGGACCGGCATCGGTCTATACTCCGCCAGGAACTGGGCCATGCAAGCGAGCGAAGCCCTTTCCACACATGCACAAAATCCAGACAGTGCACAAAACCACATCCACGGAAAAGCTGCCCTCCATCAGTACTGCATATTTGCTATGGTCCTTGGGACAGGCACAGGTCACAAATGTTTGGAGTCACAAATCACAAGTCACAAATGTTTGGAGTCACAAATGTTTGGAGACCATTGCATTGTTGAAGGCTACTTGGGCCATATGGCAAAGTTAGGCATAAGTGATGCAAACTGCAAAAAAGAGGGAGAGAATGTAACCTTGAAGAAGGGTTGAAAACACACAAGCAGGAAATACATTCTTAAGCTGTCAAAATGTAGGGAGTCACCCAGCACTGTTTGAGTGCTAATGAATTATATCATTGGTATCTCCCATTTCAAAGCTGAGATTCATTTACCAGCAAAACTACCTGTAATTTTACTAAGCCACAACAGCCAACGAACCATGGAATTGGGTCTCTGACTTTATCCCTATTTGAACTTAAACGGCACTGGGATTTTGCCACTAAATGATTCAAAGGGAAAATGAAAAATCCTTCAGTGCCAAGAAGTCGGTCCAATGTCCAGTCATCCTTCTAACAATCTCACCTGGCCATCAACCAGGAAAACTGGTTAGGCTGGCAGACCTTGTAGTCCCCATCACACTGAAATATTTATGGTTTGCAGGATTATAAACAGGAAGATGCCGAGGTTGCACTGTTCAGAGTGAAGGAAAGACAAGGAGACAAGGGAAGCTTTGCTCTTACAGATTCTTTGGGGCTATGTTTTTTGAAAACTTGGCAACCTTAAGATGCCTGGGCTTCAATTCAGCGTGCTGGCTGGGGAATTCTGGGAACTGAAGTTCACGCATCATAAGGTTGCCAAGTTTTAAAAAGACTGCTCTAGAGCCTATGAGAAACCCATGCCTATTTCAAACAGGTCCTCCAGAATACCGTGCGAGAGATTATAAATTCAACCAGTGTGTTCTTCCTGTTTATTCATTGCAGCCATACATGTTTTTATTTTTGTAAATTGCACACCTTCGCCATCAGGCATACTAAGAAGCTGTCCTTCATATCAGATGATGTGTTTAGTCTTTTAGGTCCTCAATAAATAATCACGAGGTGAGACATTACACAAGTCTGTGTCGTTTCCCTTTTCTGCTGAATTCTGACATCACTTTGTATTTATAATGCAGTTTCCTGGCAAGAGTTTTCCAAGGTTTCAAGCTGAATTTTAGGGGCTCTTGTTGGCGATGTCAGGCCCTGAATGCATACACAAAACTCCGTCCTCACTTCTCAGAGGAGAGGCGGGCAATTTTCCAAAGGTCATTTCCCAAAGCTATTGTGGACAATTTTCTGCCCACAATTTTTATTAGGAGGATTTTCAGCAATAAGGCAGGAATGAGGAGCAAAAGCCTAGAATTTTTGAGAGTTGGTGAAACACATCTAACCATCTATCAAAAACATCCACTAACACTGTCGTTGGTGGTTGGTTTTCCACTGGCTGGTAACCTCTGGCAAGTGGAAATATAGCAGTTGTTTTGGGACTGTTTTTGGAAGTTAGCGGAGTTCAGGACATTTTCCCATGATTTTTCCTCTCAGACCTTTTTGCTAGATTGGCATGAGAAAGGCTAGAGATAACTAATCTATTGCTAGTGGGGATAAAAATAAGATAATATGACAGAAATAACATAAGATGTTAGAGTTATACCTTGTTCACCTGTAGCCTTAACAAAATTGTTGGTTTTCTTCTCAAGGAATATCACAAAAACCTTGTTATCATTTTACAGGGTTACAGTCTGGGCTGGGCTGCTGGGGGTTCGGGAGACCCACTAGCTAAGATTCTGTGCAGTTTGGAGAACCCCCAAATCCCACTCATGGCTGGTCCCACCCACCCCGCCCCTCCCAGGAATCCCCACATAGTCCGTTTTGGATGCAGGTAAATGCAGGGCGCATGCAGAGCCCTGGGAAGGGCGAAAAACAGGCATCCCAGAAGTTTGGGGAGGCTGGAAATGGGACCTTTTCCAACTTCCAGAGAGCCTCCGGAGCCCATGGTGGCCATTTTCACCCTCCCGGAGCCCGGGGAGGGCAAAAACACCCCTCCACCATGGTATAGGAAGCTGACTAGGCCACACCCAGCATGGCCACGCCCACCCAACAACCAGGCAGAGAACTCTTTGCTAAAATTTTTGAAGCCCACCCTTGGTTACAACACCCCAAACTTTACAAGCTTCTGGTCTAAGTAGACATTGAGGTGTGGAGAAGACAGTGAAATCACCAACAAGGTGTTTAGCCAATATTTTTGGCATTTTTTATTTTGGAAAGTCTAGCTATTTATTTAATTGATTTACATGGTTGTTCATCTCACATTTGGGACTCTGGATGGTAAAATTGGATTTAAACCAACAAAAAGCAACAAGTAATAACAATAACAACATAATAATAATCTAATGGCACTCAAAAACAATCTAACCTAGTCCACGCAAACACAAATCATATAAAAGAAATCACATTGATAGGTTTATCTAATCTCAAAACCCCAAGGGAACATCCAGGTTTTCAAAGGTGTATAAATTACCAGCAGAATTGGGGACAAGTGAAACTTAGGAGGTGTGGTGTTCAATGAACAGGCAGTGCAACAGAGGTATCTCTAATACCAAAGAAGTGTACTTGGCTATATAGATCAGGGGTCTCCAACCTTGGAAACTTTAAGCCTGGAGGAATTCAACTCCCACAAACCTGGCTGGGGAATTCTGGGAATTGAAGTCCTCCAAGCTTAACTTTACCGAGGTTGGAGACCCCTCATCTAGAAGGTTATTGACATAATAAAAATCTATCTACTCTATATGGGATAGTTTTTCCCCTATTTCAGTATATTTCTGGATCAAAATGAACAACTCTGAACATTTCTCCAGCCCCCAAGCTTTCAAGAGTCATCAGCTCCCAACCTTCCATATTCTGGTTCCCTAAAGGTATGTTGAATGACAGCTCCCATCACTCTTAATTGTCCATATTGACTGAGAATAAGAGGCTGACTTATAGGCAAACTCATTTGGAGTGAACCAATCTGAGAAAGAATGGGATAAGGATGGGATATGCTTTTCTAAGAACTGGTCCTGGGTGTATCCATCTCAACCCAGGTTTACTGCAAGCCTGTTGAAATGAACGGTAAATTCCACAGGGATTTACTAAGCCTACATCCAGCCCCCAGAAGTTTTGCAAAGGAAAAAAGATGTCATTCTTATCACGTTTTATAAGACACCAAACTAATCTTAGCAGGGGTTTTATTTTATGAGCAAATGTAACAAAACACAGAGAAGGCTGATCAGGATATATTGATAAAAGTAGACTATAAAACTCAGTTAAGAACTGAGGAATCCTGCTGGGATGCTATCCTAACGGTCATTGACATGACAACAGTAACCATAGTAACTGTTTCCTCCTTCATAATGGCTGTGTTCTCATATCTCTTTCTGGGCTTCAGAAGAAGCCGAGGACATTGAGATGAAGGAACACCATTTGGAAGTCAAAGATATTCTCCAACTCTTTGATATCAACTGTGTGACCTTAGCCATCCTACTTAAGTTCTTTCAAGTGTCAGCTCTAGCTGGTTTCACCTTGATGGAATATAAATACTTCCAAGCGGGGGGGGGGGGGGTAGTGTTTAAAATAGCAAGAGTGCAATCAGATGAATATTTGAAAAATAAAATAAAATGGTACTCCTTGTAGTTTAAAAACCTGACAGTGATTGAATCCAGAGCCTTGTATATTTTGCCAACACAGATTGTATATTCTAGGTGTCTCTCTTCCACTCCTTCCCAGCTTCTAGCTATGTTAAGAAAATATGGAACCCCAACATCCTACGCATTAGAGTGATTCCCAGACCCCAAACATCCTACATAAGAACAAGTGTTCTCAATGAGCTGATTCTATACTGTCTAATTTGCTAGATGTTTTTATGTTGTCTTCTGGCTCATTCACTGTTTTCAGTTATTAGATTTGTCTTCCAATAAGACATGGTTTTGCATGACAAAAGGACAATTACTATTTTAAAGGAAGCACATACTCCCTGCAAAAATTATGCAAATCTCAATTGTGTGTGTGTATATATATATATATACACATACATACACACACACACCCAGATAAAAATAAAACAGATTAAGTGTGGGTTAAGGATATATGAAAAAGTAATTGAACTCAACTTAATTTTCTTAATTTAATTTTGCCAATAATTAAGCATATAAAGATCAAATCAGTAAAAAAATTATCTGCTTTGTCTGCGTGTGCTGTGACTGCAAACCTAACTGTTTAAGAAAACAAGCTATGTTTTGATATATTGTATGCACTCAAAGACCCCAGATATTAAGAATGTCACATAGGACAAAAATAATTTCATTAATTCCCCTTCCAAGGGCAACTATTGGAAGGATGGTTTTTCAACCCACAATCACGAACACACTCCGAATTGGCAATCCTGGTGCATTAATCCCAAACAAGTCAGAATTTGTAAATTCTATTATTTCTCTTTTTATTTTCCAGATATATATTTTATTGTTTACAAATATAAATATCAAACACAGTGCAACTGTTCTAGCATTACTCTGCCATACATACAAGGATATTACTAAACCATTAATATGCATATTATTGGTACAGTATTAATTTTGTTACAATTGTTTTGTCCATCCTACTTGATTAAATCCTCTATCATATCACATTCTGGGTCTATTGATCCTAACCATTTTTTGTTCCAACCTCCACCTCTCTTTTGCAACCATTGACAAAACTTATTCCAGGTATCATAGTATTCTGTTTCCCCCTTATTTTTCAGTTCTAAAGTTAGTTTATCAAGTTCTGCACAAGCAAATACTGTATTTTCCTTATTATCTCTCTTTCTGGTGGTGTATTTTTATTCTTCCAGTAAATTAACATCAAATCCAAGCTTGTATCTTCAAAATAAATGAGGCAAAAAGCGAAAGTCCTCACTTCAGTTTGCATGCTAAC